TTCATACCCCCCTTCCCCGGACCCCACCCCCAACCTCGCAGGAAGGCCCCAGATGTCTGTGTCGCTTCTCCCGGGTGGCCTCCTGGGCTCAGCGGTGCCTCCCCCACCCTCGCTCTAACACCACAGTGTGGTTTGGACGTGGCCACAGTGCCGTACAAACCACAGTGTGCTGCTGGGGCGGGAGCAGGACGGGTGGGTTGAGAGGAAGGGAGAATGAGACAGTGCTGGGAAGACCCCCACTACCAAGAGCAGGGAGAGAGAGAAGGTATCGAAGGCAGCAAACATGGCCCCCAAGAATGGTTGGGGGAAACGAAACCAGGGCGAGGAGCTGGGCAGGCAACTGGAGGGAGAGGGGCCTACGGGGAGCCTCAGTATAACAAGACTGGAACCCTCTTCCCTCTGTAGAAACTGCTCGGGGATCCCTAGGGTGGGGTCAGAGGCGGAGGAATGGGAATGACACGGGGGCCAACAAACTCCCGAGTCACAGGGCAGGGACCCAAGGCTTCCTGTGTCCAATCCTCCCTCTCTGGGTCAGAACCCAAGAGAAAGCCAGGAGAGACAGGAGGCCAAGGCCAGCAGGGTTGGAGTTGGCAATCCAGAGGTGGTGGGGCCAGAGCGTGGCTGGGAGAGGGGGGCAGGCAGAGGGGGGCCGGAAGTGGCCCTGGGCCTGGGCTGCCTCAAGATGGAGGCCACAGGCAGGAAATGGAGGCCGGGGGTGGGGGTAGGGGGGAAGGAGAGCAGCAGGGCCAGGAAGGGGCCATCTGGACCTGGGGGCCAGGTATCCAGCCCCCAGCTCTGCTTCCACGCCCCATGGCCCCCCAGGACCCAAGTCCACCCAGCGCAACAGCCCCCACCACCCGCCCGCCAGGCTCAGGCGTGGGCCCACCCCAGAAAGCCACGTTTCAGCCGAGACGGCCTCCCCACCCCCACCGAGGCCTTCCCGCAGCCCTTTCTCCTGTCCAGTATTTGATTTCTTAAAAGCACACCCCAGAAATCAACATCCAAGGGGCAAAATCCCTCCTGCAAATCAAAATAATATCCTCTAAAACCCCAAAGTTACCCTCCCACCTCCCAGACCACCCTTCACCACCCTACCTTTCGACACACCCCCCAAAACTCTTAGCAATAAAAAAGATCTAAGATGGTAGGTGTACGCAGGCTTTTTAGGCCCTGGGGGTGCCAGACCCCTCTGACACCCCTATCTCTCCTGCATCAAATCTTGCCACGGCCTCCTGCTCCTCATCCTACCCCCCAGAGTCCCTCAACTGAGCAGCTGCCCCCAGCTCCCATCCTTGGCAGAGCTTTTGTGGGGGTGAAACAGAAATCAAACACTTTACTAACGGCTGGGGATGTTGGGGCGCCCTCTGGTCTCAGCCTTTGGTTTCCACCTGGGGGACTACACTTTAGGGCCATAAGAGAAAACCTCTCCAATTACCCCCCCAGTTCCAAGACTGACAAAGCCCAACCCCACCCCAGCACGTACCTCCAAACCTCCCCCCCCCAACCGCCACGTCTCTCCTGAAAACAGGGGACACTTTCCTCCCCACTTACCTCAGCTACTCTCCCCTGAGATCCTGGTCCCCTATTTTGAAGGGAGCAAAATTTGGGGTGCATCCCTCACATTTGGGGTGCAGGAGAAAGGAGCCGCCCCAGTCGCATCGCTGGCCTCCTTCCTCTCGGCTGGCTCAGGGAGTGGGGAGTGCCCTAGGGAGGGGGGACCCCCACAAGAGAGCTGAGGAGGGGGTTCCTCCACTCCCAGTCAGAACTGGGGACACCCCCCCAAACCCGTCCCAGCCCATCCGTGTCCAACTCGGCGGGAGAGGCAGCTGCAATGCCCCAGTCAGATTCCCCCAACACTACATTCCTCACCCCATCTAGAGGGGTCCCGGGGCCCCCAAAAAATCCCCAAAAAATCCAGGATGTTGGCAGGACGGTCCTGGACTACCTCTCCAAATTTGGGGTCCTCAGATAGCCCCGTTTTTTCAGGAAAATTCTGTCTTTCGCCTGCCTCCCGCCAGCCCTGCTCTGTCCCGATGCCAATTTTGGAAGTCACTCCCTCCTTCCTCCTCCCGGTCTCTCCAGGCCCCCCCGCTCGGGGGCTGGGGTCCAGGACACCTGGCTTCCATACCGGGGGGGCACTCCTTGAAGGGCTAGGGGCCAGGAGGTCAAGCTCCTAGCCCCAGTCTTAGGGAAGCAGGAAAGCCCGATCCTCCCTTCCCCTCCCCCCTGGCTGGTCTCGGTGGTGGTTCAGGAAAGCCTGGAGGATTGGAATCTGCCATTGCTGTTGCACAGGCAGTTTTTTTCCCTTGGGTTGTGGGGGTGGGCGGTGGGAGGGAGAGGGGGGAGGAGAGCCGCACAGAGCAGGGACCCAGGCGTGCAGAGCTGGCCTGGCTTGCCCCCTAGCCCCTGCTGCCGTGGGGAACCCCTCCCCCCATCTCACCCACACTCCCAGTTCTCCTCCGGCTTTCTGTTTGGGGCTCTTATCTAGAAAATCAGGGTACAAGAATCACCTCCTTGTACCCAACCACCACCTCTCCTTGCCACAGTTCCAACGGCACTGACCTATTCAGGGGTGTCCACTTTACCACAAGACACCCCGTTTTCTCCACCTTCTCCCAAACTGAGGTGTGCTCCCTTAAGAAATTGGGGTTCGGAGTCTAAAATGACCTTTTCTCCCTCAGACCTATTTGGACCACATAGAAATAAGAGGAAATGCATTCCTTCCCAAATTCCTCCCATCAAATCCTGGGCATATTTGGGGTTCACTAAAGAAAGATTTCTAGAATCTGGGGTGCAAAGGAGCTATATATAAGCAAAGGACAACTAAATGTGCTCCAAATTAAATAACACCCCTAATTCAATCTCACCTTATGATCCATCCCTCAGTTTCACCCAAATAGTTGCCAACACCCCCAAATAAGAACACCCCAAAACTTTAATTTCCCACCCTGCGCCCCCAACTTGTTTCTGCCCCTGGATAAAGCTCCTTGGCCATCTGTGCACACACAGGAATATCCCCTCCTCAAAGTAAGTTTCCACAACATTCAAATGTATAGCTTTTCTCCTCCTCAGGGACCCACAATCATAGAAGGCCTTCAAACATGCTCCCAGGTTCCATTATGTTCCACCGCATAAAAATAAAAGACTCCAAATTGAATTTCATGTCCCCCCCAAATCTACTCTGAGCCTTGCAACTTATGTGGCACCCCAAAACATAATGCACCCCCAAATCAGCATGAAATCAGATCATCCGTATACACCAATGACTATACATCCCTGAAACAAAACCCTCATCCACTTCCCCAAGAACGCCTAGCACAGTGGTTCTCAACCTTCCTAATGCCGCGACCCTTTAATACAGTTCCTCATGTTGTGGTGACCCCTAATTTCATTATTACAAATTGAACATAATTAAAGCATAGTGATTAATCACAAAAACAATACGTAATTATATATGTGTTTTCCGATGGTCTTAGGCGACCCCTGTGAAAGGGTCGTTCGACCCCCAAAGGGGTCACGACCCACAGGTTGAGAACCGCTGGCCTAGCAGGTTCTCCTGATATTCCAAGACGACAATCTCCAAATTGTGGGTGTCAGAACTTCCAGAACTAAAGCAGCTTCAAAATCAGCTTCATGCCTCCAATGTACCATTTGCCCTCAAGCCTGAATGCAGCTCAAAGTGCCCAGAATAATCAAACTAACTCAACACCCCATAATAAGCATGCATCCCACAACTGGCCAGATAACACCAACTCAGCTCCATCCTGATACCAAAGGGAGCCCCTAACCATCTCCCACCTCCGCACCAGTCAGAGATCAAAGTAACCATCACATCAAAAGCCACCAGATGGTCCCCAGTCCTTAGTGATCCCCATTCCCAGTGTTTCCACAGTTCCGTGCATGCCCCCCCGCCCCCAAATACCCTCACATCTGAAGGGAAGGGCCCCAGGCCTGGATATGCAATTTCCTGGGCGATGGGAGACTCCTGCGCCCAAATCCAAGTCCTGCTTTGCAGCTGGCTTCCCTTCTCCAAGTGAACCTTGTCGCCTGCAGACCAACATCTCCTCAAACAAAATAGGAGGGTTTCATCTGTGCTGTCTCCCAGGTCAGGGACTTAAAATTAGTTATCAGGCCCCTCCTGCCTTCTCTTCTTTCACCTGGGACGGCCCTGTGTTCCCTTCTCTTTGTTTACCCTATCCAACTCTCATATTCATGTGCACTGAAAACTCACCTCGGAGGCAGATTATAGCATCTAATTAGAAAGGAAACCCCCGTGCTCCCGGGGCTCAGACCCCCCCCCCCACACACACACACACACACTCCTTGTCCCACCCATTTCCCTTGCTCCCAAAGCCGTCGGATTTCTCACCCCGGGTAGGAACCCCAGCCTCGGAGGAAAGTCACTTCTGTCGCCTAACTCTCCCTCCCTCTGTCCAACCCTTCCTCGTTCCCTCCTAGGAGACAGAAGGACAAAATAAACCAGCGCAAAGGGGACGAGGTCGAAGGTTCCCGCCGTTCAGACGGAATTGATCCTGAGCCCCTGTCAGAGTGGACCCCCCCACACTGCCCCCCCCAACCCCAAGCCGGGTGCAGACGGACCAGCGAGGCGAAGCCAGTGCGCGCCCGCCCCCTCGTGGAAGGAGCCGAGCATTGCGCGCCCGAGAGCTCTGCCGCCTGCCGCGCTGGACCCGGCGCCAGCCTCCAGCGGAGCCGACCGGCCAGTGCCCGCCGCCCTAACGGGCTGGGACTGGGGAGGGCGGGGGGGCTTGGGGCGGGAGTCTCTCTCTCTCCGGGTCCCTAAAAGGGTTCCGAAGGGAGTCGGGAGCGAGAGTCCGGACGCCTGGGTCTCCTGAGCGCCTCTCGGCGCCCACCCGGGACTTTCCCCACCTCCTCGAGGGGAAGCAGCTGGAGGAGCCGTCCGGTCGCAGGACAATGGAAGGAAACGCACTAGAAATCATATCCGCCCTTTCCCTTCCCCGCCCGGCCCGAGTGCCCCCGTGGGTAGGCCCGCTGGAGGAACGCGTCATCCACACCCCCCCTGCGCCGTCTGGGACCCCGCTCTTGCCTCCCCAAACCTGGCGCCTCGTAGGACGGTCCTTTACGCCCCGTAACCGTACCCTGGACGGGGGGCCTCGCTGTGTCCACGCTCCTGTGACAGGCTCCTGGCACCCCTTCTTCCAAAGCCCACCCACCCACCTTCGCGGTGCCAGCTCCCCTACCCCCACAACCCAGTCACCCCTACTTCCACTCCCGAGATCCCCAGCCCTCTCCCCAGTTCGAACGCCCCGTCCTCGGTGACCCAAGACCCCGTAGGTGACGACCACCCCGTGCCTCCGAGGCCCGCCCTGGAGCCGGAGACCCCGCCCCGGGCTCGCCATCTGGAGGGCGACGGAGGAAGGAAGGATACGGACCCAGGCGTTCACCCCACCTCCACCCCCCGCCCCCGACATCCCGGCCAGATAAAGGAGCCGAGGCCAAAAGGGGAGCGCGGCCCCACCCCCCGGAGAAGAGGAGCGGCAGCCCCTGCAGGACGGGGGTAAGGACTCAGGGTCCACGAAAAGGGCTGGTTTTTGTTGATGGTCGGAAGGCTGGGGCCCCAAACGTGGACTAAGCCAGGGACCCGGGACTAGACGGTAGTAGGCTTCGTGGTTCGAGGGAGGGGACTTCGATGGGGATTTGGTGTGTGGACCGCAAGGCGCCTGGGGGGTGTCCAGGCAGGTGAGCAGCTGAGACCGATGGCGCGGAGAAGCCGAGGGGAGGGGAGTGGAGAAGGGGGGGGGGCGCTGGAAGGGCACGAGGCGTCCAACCAGGGGCGCTGCGGGCCGGGGTCCCCACGCTCGCCATCGACCCCGTGGGCACCTTCAAGTGTAGAGGAGCGACGCGAGCCAGTGGTGTGGCCGCGGGCAGGAGGCACGGGATGAATTAAGCCGGGCCGGGGGCTTGGCGCGAGGTGAGCCTCGGGAGGAGGAGGCCACCCGCGGGAGGGAGGGAGGGAGGGAGGGAGGGAGGGAGGGAGGGAGGGAGGGAGGGAGGGAGGGAGGGAGGGAGGGAGGGAGGGAGGGAGGGAGGGAGGGAGGGAGGGAGGGAGGGAGGGAGGGAGGGAGGGAGGGAGGGAGGGAGGGAGGGAGGGAGGGAGGGAGGGAGGGAGGGAGGGAGGGAGGGAGGGAGGGAGGGAGGGAGGGAGGGAGGGAGGGAGGGGGGGCGCCTTAGGACCGCCTGGATGCCCCGGCACCCGCAGGCCTGGCCGCGATGGGATCCGCCGCGGCCCCGGAGCGGGCGCTGGGCTACGTCCGCGAGTTCACGCGCCACTCCTCCGACGTGCTCGGCAACCTCAACGAGCTGCGCCTGCGCGGGATCCTCACCGACGTCACGCTGCTGGTTGGCGGGCAACCCCTTCGAGCACACAAGGCGGTGCTCATCGCCTGCAGGTTCGAGGGGAGCCTCTGGGGATGCAATGGGACCCAATGGGAAAGGGGCGGAGGCATCAGGTCTTGGGGAGGAAATCGGCAGCCAAGCCCGCCAGAAGCAGGGGGCGGGGCGTCCTGGGATTGGGGGCGGAGCGACAGAGGAGGGGGCGGGACTCTCTACGGGGCGTGGCTTTCTGTAGTGGTTCTCTGGCCCCGAACATGACTGATCTGCCCTTTCCCCAGCGGCTTCTTCTACTCCATCTTCCGAGGCCGTGCAGGAGTCGGGGTGGATGTGCTCTCCCTGCCCGGGGGCCCCGAAGCCGGAGGCTTCGCTCCTCTTCTGGACTTTATGTACACGTCGCGCCTGCGCCTCTCTCCGGCCACCGCACCGGCCGTTCTGGCGGCTGCCACCTATTTGCAGATGGATCATGTGGTCCAGGCGTGCCACCGCTTCATTCAGGCCAGGTGAGCAGCCCACTCGGTGTTCTCCGTGGAGGAGGTGGTTGGGACCCCAGGTGTCAGGGGCAGAAGCCAAGATTAGAAGATAGCACTAATGTCCACCGCACTTTTCCCAGCTATGAACCTCTGGGCATCTCCCTGCGGCCCCTGGAGGCAGAGCCCCCCACGCCCCCAACGGCCCGTCCACCAGGCAGTCCCAGGTGCTCCGAAGGGCACCCAGACCCACCTACTGAGTCTCGCAGCTGCAGTCAAGGCCTCCCCAGTCCAGGCAGCCCCGACCCCAAGGCCTGCAACTGGAAAAAATACAAGTTCATCGTGCTAAACTCTCAGGCCTCCCAAGCAGGGAGCCTGGTTGGGGAGAGGAGTTCTGGTCAACTTTGCCCCCAAGCTGGGCTCCCCAGTGGAGATGAGGCTTCCAGCAGCAGCAGTGGCAGCGAAGAAGGACCCATTCCTGGGCCCCAGAGCAGGTACAGAAACTGGAACCCCAAGAATTCGTAGTGGCTAGCCTCAGCTAGGAGGCAGAGAGCCATGGGCCTGGGCGGTCAGGAGCAGGGAGTGAGTGGGTGGGTTCCAGGGACACCAGCCCACCTTAGGAAGCTGGCCAGAGGCCAGGCTTACTCAGCGTGGCGGGTCTCTAGCAGCACAATTGGATGTGGCTCATCGGTCAGCACTGGCTCACTTCCACAGGGTAGGCCTTTGGCTCCAAGTTCTCTAGCAGAGAAGCTCCCCGCCACGTAATCTCTCCTAACCTTTACTCTGCCTAGGCTCTCTCCAACTGCTGTACAGTTCAAATGTGGGGCTCCAGTCAATACCCCCCATCTCACACCCCGGGCCCAAGAAGCCACTGCATCATCTCCCTCTGGGCGGGCTCGTCCACCACCAGGTGAGAGCGCCTCCTTTTACTTCCTTCTGGGCTTTTGTCCTTGTGGCCGCTCAAAGCCAGTTTGGGCCAAAAATCCTCGGGAAAAGACCTATTCCAATTACATACTGCAAATTAGAATCACCTACAGAGCTTTTAAAAATCCCATTGCCCCGGTCACACCCCATACATCAAAATGTGTAGACGTGGGAACCAGACGTCTGGTTCCCAAAGCTCCCAATGCGGAGTAGTGTTTGGGAACTTCTGGCCTATTCCCATCCCGGGCTGAGCGGCCAGCCCAGAGCTCGGCCGGGCCGTTCTGGCAAGGTGTCATCCAGCAGTGCCAGTACAGAGAGAGAAAGAGAAACCTCTACCCACTAGTATGGGCCTCCACCGACCATCACTGCTATTGAGGGGAGATTAGCAGAGTACCCTGGAGACAGACAGACATGGAGCCAGATCTTGGCTTCCCCTCGTGCTAACCCTGTGACCTCGAGCAAGTCAAATGAGCCCCAGAAGTCTTAACAGTAAATTGGGAAAAAGAAAACCTACTACTGTGTGATTTGAGAATTCCCTGATGTTGTTGTCATTACCCATCCCCACCTCCACCCCCCCTTCCCAGGAAGTGAATTTTTCAGCTGCCAGAACTGTGAAGCTGTGGCTGGGTGCTCATCGGGGCTGGACCCCTTGGCTCCTGGGGATGAGGACAAGCCCTACAAGTGTCAGCTCTGCCGGTCTGCCTTCCGCTACAAGGGCAACCTGGCCAGTCACCGCACGGTGCACACAGGTAGGGGAGGAACTGAGGGGAGAGGCCCCTGGCCTTCCTGCCCACAGGTGTCCTAGGGCAGAGTCCCTGACCTCTCCTTCTCCCTGCCTCCAGGGGAAAAGCCCTACCACTGCTCCATCTGCGGGGCCCGCTTTAACCGGCCGGCTAACCTGAAAACGCACAGCCGCATCCATTCGGGAGAGAAGCCCTATAAGTGTGAGACGTGTGGCTCCCGCTTTGTACAGGTACAGAGCCAGCCTCAGAACTGGCTTAGAGACAACTTTGCCAGAGGACAGTGTGGGCCCTTTGGGGAGGGTTCTTCCTGTCTTTCCCAGAGGCCTAGTCTGAGGTCACCTCCCCTCCCAGGTAGCACATCTGCGCGCGCACGTGCTGATCCACACCGGGGAAAAGCCCTATCCTTGCCCCACGTGCGGGACTCGCTTCCGGCACCTACAGACCCTCAAAAGCCATGTTCGCATCCACACGGGGGAGAAGCCTTACCACGTGAGTACCTGGCCCAAAGCCTTACACCACTTACCTCCCGTTTCTCTAGGGACTGGGCTCCGAGGAACGAGAGGAGCAGGGCCCAGCGGGCCCTAGAACTCTTCCAATTGGGCGGAGTCCTGGGAGAGACCATGTGTGCAAGGGGTGGGGCCTAGGGTAGGCATGTGAGTAAGGGGCGAAGATGGGGGTAGGATGGGCAGGTACAGAAGTTAGGCTCCTTGGCTGGACACTGGCTCCTGAAGAGGAACTAAGGGATGGAAAATCCTTTGCTGAAGAGGGGGGAGCCATCTCCTTGGCCTCTCCCTGAGGATTTGGGAGGATGAGGACTGAAGAGTTTCTCTTGGCCTGAGAGCTAGCAGTTCTCTCTTGCTCAGCACCTAAAAGGTGCTTGCGGATGGGGAGGGGGACCTGACCAGCTCTCTTCCTCCCCACCCCACAGTGCGACCCCTGTGGCCTGCATTTCCGGCACAAGAGTCAACTGCGGCTGCATCTGCGCCAGAAACACGGAGCTGCTACCAACACCAAAGTGCACTACCACATTCTGGGGGGGCCCTAGCTGAGCGACAGGCCGGCCCCAGTCACTTTCTGGAAGCCAGGGAAGCTGCTGGCCCACACCTGGCTTCTCTGTCAGATTTGGGGATGGAGGGTGCAAGGCCCCTCCGTTCTCAGAAACTGCCTCCACCTTCATTTCTCACTGGGGAGAGCAGGGGTGGCAGATCAGGATTCGATCTGCCTCTGTTTTGCTGGTCAAAACCTCTTCCCCACAATCAATTGTTTCTGAGGAGAGAGCAAGCTAGGAACTGGGGAGGGAAAAGGCTGGAGGCCTGGTTTTCGTAAGGGAACATTCCTCCACCTGCAGTCCCCATCTCATTCGGTTTATCTGTAAATATAATTTATTGAGGCCTTTGGGTGGCACCCGGGCCTTCATTCTATTGCATTTCCTAGCTCCCTCTTCCTAGTGTGATCGGTGACCTGAGACACAGAATGTGAGGTCACAGCTCTGCTGGCAGAGATAAGCACTTGGCTTGAGTGTTTTATGTTATTGTTGCCATAACTTCTAACTTTAGAATTGTTCTTTCTCCTATTTGTTTGCTTGTTGGTTTGTTTAAAATGGAAAAAGGGGTTCTCTGTGTCCTGCCCCTCCGATTCTAGGTCTGGAACCTCTATTTGTCCGAGGGCAGCTCTGGGAACATGTGCGTTTGTGGAATTGGGTCAGGAACCCTCTCTGGATTCTGGATATTCTAGGTCAGGGGTCCTCAAACTGCGGCCCGCGGGCCACGTGCAAATACAAATATTGTATTTGTTCCCGTTTTGTTTTTTTACTTCAAAATAAGATATGTGCAGTGTGCATAGGAATTTGTTCATAGTTTTTTTTTTAAACTATAGTCCGGCCCTCCAACGGTCTGAGGGACAGTGAACTGGCCCCCTGTTTAAAAAGTTTGAAGACCCCTGTTCTAGGTTCTCTAGCAGGCTAGAACTGGACAGATGTTTCTCTGTTCTGCAAGGGCTATGGGACCTTTAAGGTGAGCCTGAAATGCAGGTAATAAATGCCTCCTGAGGGCTGTGGGTGTGGGGCTTTGTCAGTCTTGGAACTGGGGGGATGGTTGGAGAGGCTTTTTCTTAGACACCTAACTGTCCCATTCATCTGCTCCCCTAGGTTTGCCTCGGCTGTGTCTGTCATGATAGAGCTCACAACCCTCCCACTAGGGCCTGTTGTCAGCACTGAGTTCTGAAATTCCTTATTAGAGATGATGCCGCCTTTTCTGACTCTGCCCCACCTCTAAGAATGTTATGACCTACGGGAGAGTTATGAAACTCTTTATCTGAAACTCTTTATCTTGACCAGTCCTTTGATGCTAAGGCATCTGGGCTTGAATGTCTCTTGGGGTTCTCTCTACCTGAGACAAACTCCTTCTTCCCTCAGTGGGTTTTTGGACATGTTCTGGCAAATGTCCAGATTCCAGAAACTTCTTTGCCTCTAGAAGCCACAGGTGCTTGGTAACTTTCTTATCTTAGAAAAGCTGGGTCTGTGACCTGGTCTTCCCATCACTGTATTCCTGTCCGGAACAGTGAATGCACTAGGACCTTCCACGGGGAGAGTAAAGGGGCTGAGTTCCATTTGGGGTTTGATATAGTTTGGGATTATGATTGGGATTACTGTTAGAGGTTTAGAAGATTTAAAAGATTGACTGACTGACTGATGGGCCTTCTAGTGGACCAAGTATCCAGGTAGAATTTAGAGGCTGGTTGAGGGGTGCAGTTTCTGGTGTAGGTCAAGGAGGTAGAAAGTTAGGAATGGGGTTTCCTCTTAACTGGGCAGAAGGTCTGGAATGTTAGATGATGCCCTGAAGCCTTGACTTACAGTCCCACCCCTTTTGCCATGGAGCCTGTTTGGTTATGGGGCAGGGGAAGAGGGGAAGAAGAACTTTGAATTTGTGGGGTAGAGCTTCCTCAAGATAGGTCAGTACTAGTGGCTGTCATTTGGAAACTGGTGAGAAAGCTACTCTTTACCCTCTTACTCCCCACTGCAGACTTGCAGGAAGAGAGCGGAAGAGAGATGCGAGGAGGAACCATGGTTTTTATTTTATTTTATTTTATTTTTTAGCAGACTGGATGGGCAGGTGGAGAGTGCCTAGGGGTGGAGATGTTAGATCTTGCAAGATCAGAATCATGGAATAAAGAAGCCTCTCTGTGCTGCCTGTTGTGTCCTGGGGTTCTTGCCTGGGGAGCCTGGGGACTGCGTAAAGCTAGGGAAAGCGGGTTCTTCCCTCCTGGGGACCATCTGGCGATTGTGTGCCCATCCCACCAGACATTTCAAATGGCCCGTGTTCTCCCCTCCCCTGCCCTTGCCTTCTGGCTCATGGTGCAGGAACCGGTGACTTCATGAAGTGCTCCGGAGCCACCTGCATCCTGCTGCTCTGAAGTCACTTCCTGCCTGAAGTGTGGAGGCGGCAGGGAGAAACCAGGAAGCCACTAATAATACCAGGACACTGGGGGAATGCATCTGTGCTGGGACACCTCTAGCACCACTATCACAAAAAAAAAATGGGTAGGGGTTGGGTCCCCCGAGGACAACAGGGGCTGGAGGTAGCAGTGAGAAGGCTATGTGGTTAGAAACATGCCAACTCCACCCCTCCCCCAGCAATGGTGTCTTGGAATTTATCCATTGCCCAGCGTTTGCTTCTCTCCCACCCTGTCCCCTGTCCTGTGTGTGTTCTGGGTGCACAGCTCTGTTCTGCCCTGTGGGTAGAAGGTAGGAGGTCACTAATTCTGAGAAGTTAACCTTCCTTTTGGACTTAAATTACTCATCTGTGAAATAAGTCTATTATCATGGTCTCTGCAGCTGCTTCCAACATTTACAGTTTGTGGTTGTGTTTTTCGGTCTTTTATAAAACCCATGGCCTGGATTATTTTATTAAAAAGCAAAACGTGAAACTTAGAAACTAAAACCTCTCTTCTCCCGCTACAGTTTATCCCCTGTTGAAAAGGAGACCAGCTAATATTCTTGCTACATGCCAGGCCCTCAACTAAGCATTTTAGTGCATAGGTTTTCTAATTCACCTCCCCTGACAACCCTAAAAAGTAGGTGCTGTTATTACCCCCAATTTACATGTAGGGAAAACAAGTAAGAGACTCAGTATCTTGGTTGGCCAACTTAATACGTGATGAAGCTGAGGTTGGAACTATGATTCTACAGGCTGCACTCTTTAACTACTAGGTTATATCCTCACGTCAATTTCTATGCCATTGGCATATTCTCCCACCACCCAAAATTCTGACTCTGCTTCCAAAAAAAAAAAAGTTTTGGGGGGTAGGACTGTTTTTATTTCCCACATATAAAACTATAAGGCTCAATATGCTTTTTTAAATTACACAGCCTGCCTCCCTCCCCATCCCCCACTTGTCGGGTATAAATCTTTGAGTCCAAGTTTCAAGGTGAGGGTCCTGGGGGGCTTGAAATTACAGTGAAGAAATGGGGAGCCGGGCCATTTGTGCTCTAGGAGTTGGAGGGGCTGGGTTGGAGGGGCAGATTGCTCCCGTGGTCCTGGCTTGTCTGTTTAGTAGATGATCGAGAGATGCAAAACCGTGGTTAGGAAGGAAGTGGTTTTACTAGAGGGGCAGGGGCAAGTGTTCTAGCCCCGCTGGAGAAAGGGTAGTTGATGCTGGCAGGCTCGCCCTTCCTCTCCCCGGTTATTTTTGGTCTCTGTGACCTGTAGGTTTCCTGTTGGTGGGAACAGAAGCGACATTACAGAAATGAACGCCAGGAGTCCAACAATCCATTCCCCTTGTCCCCTTCTTGGGTCCCGGAACCCCTCAGGGATCCGGGGGATCTAGATTCTAGTGACCCGAGTAGCTCGGAGCATTTTATTTTAATCTCATCGCCTAATCCCTGCACTCGCCACCAGGCCTTGCAACTCCTGGGCTCCTCATTAGGCAAGGGATTGCTTTCCTCTCCTGATCCAGT